GATCCCAAAGGGCTCTTCCACGTTCATCCCCATTGTTGACTAGTTCCAGTCATTTTGGCTGTTTTGTAGGTAAACGTGTGGTAGTTCTCATCTCTTCACAAGTTTTGCTCACAATTTTTCATTTTAAGGACTCATTAACCAGTGATATGAAAAAAAAAATTAACTTGTGCAGATTTGTTTATTCATCTTTATTTTTGTTGGTCTTCATGACATGCGATGATGAGTACCTTTAATTTGGGCCACTTTAATACATGATTTATGACAAGAAGGTGTCTGAATAATAATTACTAAATAATAATAATTAATAATTAAATAATAAGTAATTGTAAATAAAACTGTTAATGAAATATGTTTCTATACAGTAGTTGCTCATTTATCGTGAGGGTTATGTTCCAGACACCCTCGCAATAGATGAAAATCTGTGAAGTAGGGATGTTATATTTATTTTAGTATTTATATAAATTCTAAGGCTTCATAAACCCTTCCCACACTCTTGCAATGTTCTAAATGCTCTAAAAGAGCACAGTGTGTCATGGTCTCTGCCACGCCCACTTCTCCGCTGCAGTCACACTAATGCTCCTCACCTGTGTCACTCCCGCACTCCCTCCTGCTGCACCTGTGTGCTGCACTTCTTCAGCTCTCCCCAGTCTCTGCCTCCCTGCCAGATTGTCTGATCGCCTCATGCCTCAAGTATCCAGCATTCTCGTTCCTAAAGGCTCCGTTCGGGTTGCACTTGATTATTTAAAATAAATAATCCATGCCGCTCGTTTGGCTCACTCAGGTATAAGACAGCACCCTCGCCCTCTCCTTTCTTTTTCTGACGCTGTCTGTTGCACACCTGCCTGTTGGGTGTCTGTGGAACACAATTGGGAAAGACAGACTCGCCCCCTCCTTTCTCTTTCTCTACTGTGACAGACTTTGTAAAGAGAAAGGAGGGGGCGGGAGGTTTTGTCTTATACCTAAGTGAGCCACTCTCTCTTTTTTAAAAACTGATTCACTCTTATTTTTCCACCTAAGCATTTTCTCTGATATTCTACATTTGTTCATCTGACCTGTTCATCCCTTCTCCCTGAGCAGTAGCGATGGGGAAAGACAGACTCCACCCCTCCTTTCTCTTTCTGAGGCTGTCACAGCAGAGCATAGTTGCATGTTGCATGTCTTCACTCTGCTGTGACAGCCTCAGAAAGAGAAAGGAGGGGGCGGGAGGTGGGGTCTGTCTTTCCCCATCGCCAATTGTGTGTCATGTACAATCTTACGTTGAAAAACTTAGTGAGTGAGTTTGCGAAAGTCGAACTGCAACGTATCGAGGGACTACTGTATTGTATTGTGGAGGTCTGAGCTCTGTTTGTTCTGTCGCAATAAACAAGTCAATTAATCACTTGATGAATGAAAATTATTGACCTCATTTTCATTTACCAGCTTTATCGTTTCTTCGAGTCTCTTTCTTTCTTCTACTGAAGACAAGGCTCAACTCTGGTGCTCTTCACTGACTCATCCCTTTCTGTTTAAAATCTGTTTAAACCATCCAAAATCACGTTTTTGGATCGTTAAAAGCAGCTAAACTGAGAAGCTAAGCTACGAGCTAAGCTAACAAGCTGAACTCTGGAATAAACCTCCGTCTTGTTGACCTTCAAAATTCACGATTGAAACATGTGCCTTTGTGTAAAAAGTTGTTTTTCTCTGCAAAAAGAAGCTGATAATTTGTTTACTAATTATTTATTAAAAGCTTTGTGTGAAAAATGCTATGCTAAAGAGCTCAAACCACCGACTGTCCGCCATGTCAGCCCATGTCACGTCAAGGGCCCTCCCTCCCATTTTTCTTAGACATTCTGCTCAACTATCCATCCTTTGGTTCAGTCAGTCTTATACTGCCATCAGGTGGTCAAAAAAAGTACTATACTCCAAACAAATCAACATTTCTTCTAAAATTTGACAATTAATTATTGTTAAATTTCAAACAATATTATCGTTTATCGCAATAATTTCTGAGACAATTAATCGCCCAGCAAAATTTGTTATTGTGACAGCCTAGTTGTGTGCATTAGCCATGAAGATGACCCAGAGCTACATCACAGCTTTCAGCCCATGATGTTCTCTTTATCAGTTTTAGTGAGCTTCACTCTTCATGAGAATGAAAAGAACAACAGTAAATTACGCTTAAAGCTTATTCTCATCAAAATGGCATACACCAGAAATGATTCAACAGTAATAGATGTTGAATTTGCTAATTGTGTGCTAGCTAGTTAAAAAAAAAAAGAGGTTGAGAAAGAGTTATTTGGACCATCTTTGATAACATTAAAACGATTTATTAATAGCCAAAATTGTGAAAATGGTCCAAGTGTTATAAAGACTTAAACGACTGCTTCAAGATAAAACAGGAAGTTGAAACCGTAATTGTATTTTTGAACTGATTTGAACATTAAATTGGCACCATTTTATTTCTATTATCAGCATGCACTATTTAGAATGAAGTCTACAGACTGTCAATATTTTTCCCATCGTGCTCCCGACAGATTAGAGTCCTCCCCCTTCACGGTCTGGATGCAGAGTGGCGCCCTCACCTCGCTGGAGAAGAGGAGCACCATGTCCACGACCCAGGCTTCTGCACCTCCAAAACTGCCCCTCGATGGAGTGAGTCCAGCCTGAATGATATCCAGACCAGAATTACAGCTAAGCTGTCGTCCCCCAACGCCCCGCCTGATCTTACTTTCCTCGGGGACGAACCAGACCACCCCGGCCTTTTCTCCCGTATTGTTCGTGGGGAGGAGCAGCAGTGGCGCGTGTGGGAGGATGAAAACCACGTGGCTTTTCTCACCCCTTTCCCCAACTCCCCAGGTTTCACTGTGTTAGTCCCACGCCGACCTTTAACCTCTGACATATTCAAATTGGAAAAAGCAGATTATGAGGCTCTGGTGTTGGCTACCAAGAAGGTGTCGCACCTCCTCGAGGAGGGGTTGGACGCCTCGGGGGTGGGGCTTATTTTTGAAGGTTTTGAAATAGACTACGCCCATGCCAAGTTAATCCCACTGACTCAGCCTTCACTGTCAGGAGCAGAACGCAGTGTCACTAAATGTCAGCCTCCATTGTTTTACCCCACCTACCCTGGATATGTGACATCAGAGGACGGGCCTGAAGCCAGCACCGAAAGTCTGAAGAAGGTGCACGAAGGAATTACTCAGACCTAATTCCTGCTGAGGTGAAGATCTCATTTGAACTTTTTACCGGATTATTATTTTGTTAGATTAATCATGGAGGAATGCTTGATTTGTGCCACAAACAGACAATTTGTAATGACCAGTTTTTCATTCAAATAAATAAAAACGATATCAGATTTAATTCAGTCATTTAGATTTGTTTACTAATGTCATCTAATAATAAGATTAAAATGATATGCATTTTAAATAGAGGTTTTATTGAACTAAACAAATCCACATTTTTTTATTCAAAATAACTGCAAATGCAATGCTGTACTAAAAACTTTGTTTCTTAAAGTTAACACTAACAAAGTATTAAGAGAAAGTTAATTAGCACATGCGTCAATGTTTATATTGGAGTGATTTTTCTTGAACTTTTGTTTTATGTTACTTGTTTTTAATTTGTCATCTTGCATAAGGTCACTCATTACATCACTTCTAATTGGTCCCACTGTGGATTGCTGGTTATGAAGCTAAATTAATTACCATTTAAGTGTTTAATAAGTACTTTGTAAATCAGAAACCTCCCCTGGCTTCTATTAAATTAGTTAACAATAAACAGTGTGTGTTAATGAGAAGAGTTTTTAATTCTGTTTTCTACAGCAGGAGAAAAAAAAATCGATAAATAACTTGTCTTAGTTTAAAATAATAATGTAAGCAATTGTTTAAGAAAGAATAATAATTATTTAGCTTGCACTTTTTCTGTAGGAGAAAAATAATTTTGAAGAACAGACTTTGGATTTTTAACAGTTTTAATTTTGTGCATTTTATTCTTTTATACCATTTTAAATTTTACTGAACGTACATAAAAAAACAAGTTAATATTAAGGTACACACTGCCTGTTAGAAAAAAAACATCTACAACAATTGTGTTTCAGATTTTTGTGTTTTTTTTTAATATTCGTAGAAAAGTGTTTAAATATCGACCAAATCAAAACACAAGAAAGCGCATGGAAAACGTGTTTACTGAAGGAGATTTTTCCATATATTGCTTTAAATCCATGAATTAAAATTAAGTCTTTGAGTGTTTGTATCAGGTGAACACAATATCTACTTTAATGATACACAGACTTTTAAAAATAAGAAATGCAAAAAAAAAGTAAACCTGAGCATGCGTGAAATATAAAGCCTTCATTTGGAGCAAATTTAGACACAAGTGTACCATAACCTTCACTGTTAATTATAAACCTAGTTTGAGGCGTTTATTTATTTAGCTTATTGTGCTGCTTTGCTTATAATGCCTCATTTAGTGGTGCAAAGTTTGGTTTCTTTCACAACACGTGGAAAAGTTAACTTTATATTCGTAAAATTCGACACAGACTTAACCTGAAAATATTTAAAAGCACAAATTTATTTAATCACTTCCTAAAAACACATTCAGCCCTTTTTTCAAATCAGCGATTGTCTTCTAATTTGAAAACAGGTGCCTGAAAAAATGTGAAAGATAAGTATGAATTATTTATAACTTCCATTTTATGTGACTAATTTGAACTACTTCTACAGTCCTATTAAAATGTTATTTAAAACATATTGAAATGGAACAAATCAAGAAGAAACATTTCAAATATACTAACTGGGTAAGCCATTAGCTAAAACATGGAGGCAGTTAGTCCTCTAAGTTAACTTTAGCAACTCCAACTGTTTTTATGTCACGTTGCAGCAAATAAATGCGTCTGTGGACAGTTTGTTGTCCGAGCTCTAAATCGAAAACCCACAGTTTCTATGTAAAAAATAAATAGAATATTGCTTTGAATACCAAAGTTGGGTGTGTATGTTAAATTTACAATAGCACCGATGGTGTTTTGATCAAACCTTGGCATCAGGCAGGCTTTCTGTAGCGCCCTCCCTGCAGCACATAACGTTCAGTTTCTCCAGCTTTGTGATGTAGAGGAGGGGCTCGATGATGCAGCTCAGATCCATGATGGAGAACACGATGATGCTGATGAAACAATGGTACTCGATATACGTGTAAACTGACACGAAGGGCATGGTGGCCACAGGAGTCAGATAGTTGACCACGATGATGGCCAGGTTTTTCAGCACCATCTTCAAGGCTTTCTTCTTCACTGGATGCATCACCTCCTTTCCTGCCACGGAGTGACGGAGAACCCAGATGACAGAGATGTTGCAGAAGACCATAACCGCAAATGCAAAGAGGATGACCCCGCTGAAGACGTCCGTCACGCTCATGACTCCAAGGATTGCGTCTGTCAGGCTGTAGGGAATGATCAGAATCCAGACCACGACAGAAATGGCGGTTCGGGCCATGTTGCCTCGGTATCTGGAGAAAATCACTGGGTGGACCACGGCCATGTAGCGATCGATGCAGATACACACCTGGGGTTACAGACAGGAAGAAAGAAGAGTGATGTTATGGCTTAGGTTTCTATTATAAAATTTTGGAAGCACAGGAATCCTAAATTTTATTTACAATTAAGGATAACGGTAATAATAGTTTATAGCCTGTCTTTAACAGGTACAAGTTTATTTTCACACACTCAAGAAAGTGTGATATAAGTGGGTTCTTACCTATTCTAGGGTACCTAAATTAAATATATCGGACCGCAATGGGTAACGAGTACCTAACATATAAAAGATTTTGAAAATTTTGAATGTGGCTCCAACATATTGTAATATTTCTTTAGTTTAAAAAAAGGAAAAATAAATCAGAAGCTGGAAAATGGTTATCAAGAGGGCTATAATTTACCCAAAAAAAATTGATTTGAAGATGACATCACAACAAGAGAAAATTCTAAGCACTTAC